GGTCCCGTGTAGTCAGTGTGTGTCCCCGTGTGTGAGGCCGGTGGGTCCCGTGTAGTCAGTGTGTGTCCCCGTGTGTGAGGCCGGTGGGTCCCGTGTAGTCAGTGTGTGTGGCTCTCTGTCCCCCCTCAGCATTCCAGTCCTGCACAGCGGCCGATGACAAGACTGCAGCAGTGGAGGACTTTCTGCGATACCTGTACGGCGCAATGGCCCATGACGCCATCTGGCAGTTCGCCAGTGAGGAGCAGCTGCAGGACGCCCAGATGGCCATTGAGCGTAGCGTCATGAACCGCATATTCAAGCTGGCCTTCTACCCCAACCAGGACGGGGACATCCTGAGAGACCAGTGAGCAGGAGCAAGCCGGCTGGCCTGGGGGGGGGGCTGTTACGGAGTCGATTATTTGCGGTCCGATTAGCCGGTGCTAGAGGGCCATGTCCGCAGAGGTCGTATCGACCTGCCGGTTAAAGGACCTACTGAGCCTGCTTCCCCCCTCGCCACAGCATTTCGGCTATAAATCAGTAATGCTAAGGCGAAGCACGTGACCGATGCATGCAGGCTGATGCTGACAATGCTTCTCTTTCAGGGTCTTGCAGGAACACATCCAGAGGCTCTCCAAAGTCGTGACAGCCAATCACAAGGCTCTGCAGATACCAGAGGTAACACTCCCATCTCTCTGTCCGCCCACTTCCTGCTTTAAGGGTCCACCTGCCTTTGAGTTCTGTGTCTATTTTCTTGGTCCATAGTAGAAGGAATTTTGCCTGTAGTTTTCTCTGACTCTGCAGAGTGTCTGTGTTTACAGTCAGAATGGCATTGAAACCTCAAGGATGTAGTTAAAGCTTTTGTTTTTTTCTCCCTTGAAAATTTGTGACAGTCGCCCAGTGCCTCTCTGTCTCTGGGTGGCTCCCCATAATGACCATTACAAATCACAGACCATTACCGGCAGTAACAAATGCTCAACTGGGACATGAAAAATACACACGCCTTGTATTTGGAGATTTACGGCAGGCACTAGCTAAGTGTGCTGGGTCAGAGGGCGGGTCCCTGTAATTGCATGCTCTCGCAGCCCATTGGTGGCGGGGGATGGCCTTGAAGTGCTTTGACCCACCGCCCTGGAAAGAGATCCTCTGTTCTCAGGCGCTTTTGGATTTGACAGTTTTTAATTCTCAATATCGGATCTGTGAAGCAATCTGAGAGCTTGTGTACAAGTGGATGACTCTGATTTATCATAGCTGCTGTTTTCTTTTTTTTCTACTTATGTGCACAAGTTCATTAAATGTGAGTCTGATTAATAGCAGGGCACATCACTGGTAATTAATAAACAAGCCAGAAGCCAGGGAACCTCACAGGCACCATTTTTGTGCTGGTTTCGGGTTCACCCCAGCAAAGGGATGCTGAGGTACATCAGAGTAGGTAGGGGCTTGTTAGCAGGGCTGTGGGTCACCTGGAAATGGCAGGCTTTTTCCTAAGCAAATGGGGTTGAGAGCCTCGCCTGCCAGTAGGGTGGGAGTAGAACCTGTGACATTCTGGTATCCATTTTATTTCATTCTGTGTAGGAGAGGTAGATTTGGTTTGGATCAGGGGTGTCAAACTGCAGTCCTGGGGGGCCGCAGCCCTGTGTAGCTTAGTTCTTTCCCTGTTCCACCACAAATGATTCAGCTCAAGAGCTGTGTGGTAATTAGCACAAGGATTTGAATCAGGTGTGTTAAATGAGGGGAAACCCAAAAATGTGCAGGGCTCCGGCCCCCCAGGACTGGAGTTTGACACCTGTGGGTTAGATAGTCGTGGGTTTTCCTTTGTTGCTTTGTTGAAATCCACATCCGAGGCTAGTTGTCCACATCAGAAGAAACTGCATTTGCCAAATGTACCTGCGAACCATCCATGAAGACACACCATCTGCCCTCTGTCCCCCTACCACAGGTGTACCTGAAGGAGGCGCCGTGGCCCTCGGCACAGGCCGAGATCCGCACTATCAGTGCCTACAAGACGCCGCGGGACAAGGTGCAGTGCATCCTACGCATGTGCTCCACCATCATGAACCTACTGAGCCTGGCCAACGAAGACGCCGTGCCCGGCGCCGACGACTTTGTCCCCGTGCTCGTCTTTGTCCTGATCAAGGTGGGGACACCTCCCTCCCCAGATGGGACTTGCGCACACAGATAGGCTGAATGTGTCTGACGTACGCGGAGCTTTGGGCTTCCAGCCCATAATAGGCATCAGCATGACATCTACCACAGATAATAAAATGTGTGTTTGCTTTTCCTTGGCTAATACTGGCTCCCTAATGGTGTTTATCTGGCAGTATAGCAGTGTGATTGAGAGTTCCTGCATCCGCAAGCTGAGCTCGCTGCCATTAGAGGCAGAATGACTTCTAAGCGTTTGGGTTCCTGCTCACACCATCGGAACGGAATGGGACGGAGATTAGCGAACGCCTTGGCATATACCAGCGGGGGGCGGGGGCTGCCTTTCCATAGATATTTACATAATGGCCTCATTAAGGTCCCTAATAAGAACGCTAATGTCGGGCTAATGTGTTGGTAAACATGGTCTGAGTGAGCCGGAAGGCGGGGCATGCATGAGTGTGCTCAGGAAACGGACCGACCCCCTGCCAGCCGGATCCGGATTCCCTCCAGCCCCCAGTCACCAGGAAAGCTCATCAATGGCACAAGCAGAAAGGTGTCCAGCAGAGCAGCGCCCTCCTCACGGGACCTGCCGCTCATGACCGACTCTGGCGCCTCCTGTCTGCTGCACCCTGTTTCTACCTGGGAGTCGATTAGCAAGGGTGGCGGGGAGCCACACAGATGGTTGCTGGTTCAGTTCCTAGCTGCATCCAACTGTTGTACCTTTAAACAAGTCATCCAGCCTGATGTTGGGCATACAGCATTACTTAGTCATGTTTTACTCTTTGAGATGAATCTGAGTGCAGTTTTATGAATAACTGATGAGTAGCGTCTCTGCACCTTGTCCTGAGTGTGACACTGTCCCCCTCCCCGTCCCCTCCAGGCCAACCCACCCTGCCTGCTCTCCACCATCCAGTACATCAGTAACTTCTACGCCAGCCGGCTCGGTGGGGAGGAGAGCTACTGGTGGATGCAGTTCACAGCCGCTGTGGAGTTCATCAAGACCATCGACGACCGCAAGTGAGGTGGGGCGGCCGGTCACGGGGGGAGGCTCCGTGACTGTCCCCCTGCCCGCCCCCTCCCTCTGTATAGCTGTACATAGAGCATAGAGGACAGCAGACCTGACCTGCCCCGACCCAACCGAGGCTTGGGTCACCAGGAAACACCAAAACAGCTTTTCAACCAGAAACTGAATTCCTGTCTTTTTTTTTAATTGCCCATCCTCTGTTTCTCTGACACTGACCAGCGGGTCTCTGCTTTTCAGAATTTTATATCTATTTAAACACATAATGATACCGATCAGACAGGTGGAAAAGGGACCACAGTGACAGTGTGCTCTTGGGCGTGCGCTGGCATGGGGGCGTACCTGCAGTGGGGGCGTACCTGCAGTGGGGGCGTACCTGCAGTGGGGGATGCTGCTTCGGCCCATCATAGACCTACCAGACCGAGCAGTTAGATTCCAGGTGTCCCCAGCTTTTACCTGAAGGGTTTATTTCAGCATTCCTGGACAGTTTCCTGCGAGTCGCGCCTTAGGTATACGCAAATCGGTTAAGCTCACTCCACTGCGGCTTTTAAGCACAGGACGTGAGAACAGACGTGTTTGTATTCCTGACTTACAGCTGGCTTGCTGGGTGGCTCTCTGCTTGATGCTTTTTCCGCAAGTTTATCCTGCCTGGTCTTGAGATCGATGGCGGGAGGGAGAGGACAAGGGATGGCTTGCCGTGGTTTAGGATGAGAACAGATCCTGTGAATTATGAGGGACAATCACATCTCGCAGGTTCCAGATTTTCCAAAGCTCCCTGATTGGTCAGGTGTCATGACCCTTCCCCACGCCATTCACACCATACCCTAGAAGCAGTGCCTTTGGATGCGTGTGCCAGTTATAGGGCACGGAGCAGCTCACTGCCCCACCAAGCAGGAGGGGGTTTACCAACTGGATTGAAGGACCTCGGTCAACAACTCCCCCCACCCCGCCCTTCTGTTCCCCTTGCCACCAAAGACACCCCTCCCACTTTGAATCCCCCTGGGTCATTTAAGCCTCCCGGTCCCCCACCGTTTTTGGCAAACTAGCCGCCATTTTTTTTTTTTTTGTAACAAACACTCTGTCTTTCAGTGTTAAAACTCCTGTTTTAAGTGTGCAGCTAGATGGTGGAATTCTTTTGGGAAAAAATGAGGATGATCATTTTAATACATGTAAGAAGAATTCGCTTTAAGGTCAGCTGAAGTCCGCCTGCCTGGTTTGTTCCTCTCATTGCGGTCGGGCCTCGTCTCGAACAAATGGGTCAATGCGTGTCGTGTGAGGCTGTCTCTCTATCTGTCTCTCTGACTATCTCTCTTTGTCTTTCTCTGTTTGGCCGATGCGGAGAGCCCCCATAACAGCGTGCGCTGACACAGGATGTAAATATCTAGGCATGCAGACACTGATCTGATTAAAGCTCTACCTCCTCGCAGGTTTCAGAAAGGGACTGTTAACTTTCATGTATGTTGGGGTTTTTTGGGGGAAGCGACTTTCCTAAAAACGTTCTCATCTTCCCTGCAGTTAGAGGAAAGTGCTTGATGATGGGAGGCATCACAGGGTCCCCGGTCCAGTGATGGGTTCTGGCCTGGTTCTGGCTGCAGATAGAGGAATGTTCTGTTTATGTGCACTTTTGGTAATGGCTAAGTATTGTATGTCCCTGATTGTGTTCTATAAATGCTTTTCTCCATTGTATTAAAATATAACAAAAACTCTAATATCCACTGACTTTTGACTTAAGTGGTGACTTCAGCCCTCCACTGATTATTTAGAGGAGGTCTAACATTATTTTCTTTTTTTGTGGTTCTTTATAAAAGCCAGATGGAGCAAAACTTTCTACCCAACTGCTAGTTGTTCCTTTAAGAAAATTGATGTCTTTCTCTCTGATGTGTGTGTGCAGGAGAACCTCGGGGGTTACCCTGCCGTTCTCGGCGCTCTCATATGCTTGGGGTCACACTTGCACACCTTTCTCAGTCCCCTCAGTTGTGGCCAGCGGAGCCTCCACTTCCAATGTTTTTACTGTGAAGGCGTGGGATTATTTTGCTGCTTTCCGGAGACTGCAGAGCTGAGATTTCGAGACGTGCAAGGTGACGTGGAGTCTGTGACGTGGAAGACGTGATGCAGAGCAGTTCTCAGGTCTGTACTTCTCTCAGACGCATCTCCTTGGGTCTGTCTACACAAATTCCAGCCGCATTTCTAGTGTTACTTTATGAATAGGTGCTTAGATATAGGAATAAACATAGTTTAAAATGTAGCTACATCAACAGTAATATTGTAATTTAGGTGGCAGGATGATGTCATTACACAGGCCACCATGTGAACTGCAAAGGTCTGTGTTTCTGGGTTTGACTGAACAGCAGGTCTACTTTGGTCTGCACTCTGGTTTTAGCTTGGTCTGGTTTCATTTCCTAAGAAAGGACTGGTGTGACCTGGCCTGTGGGCCTGTTTGTATATATACTGGATGTCTAATAAAACGCTAACAATTTATACATTCAAATACATCCTGAGTTTAATTTGAGAAATGCTGTTTAGTGTTTAGTGTAAAGTGACCTTGGGTTTGTGAAAGGCACTATATAAATGTAACTTATTGATATTAGTCCCCTGGTCAGCTGTCAAGCTTTTGAACCATTTAACATTTCTGTTTTAACTGTTTTGCTGAAGGAGGGCCTCTTTTCAAATGGGTCCAGCAGAATCATATAGTGAGGCGAAAACCTGCCCCGGTACAGTTCATCCAGGATGACGAATGTTATGGGTGCCCGCGATCAGAGGGTGTCACATTCTCACGAGCTGGAGGAGTTGTACTAAACCATCTCAAAATGGACCACGCTCTGTTTGGCACACAATGGGGAAACACATCCTGTCCAGACTGATTACTGCATTATATAATTTTTAAAAGATTCAAAGAATCTGCTGCATTTCCATTTTCTGACACTTGCGATTCATCGCATTTTGGTGAATTTGTTTTTGACCCCCCCCCATAATGACCTGGCACAGATGTGCTGTTTATAAGTCAGCCATTAATAATCCACTAACTGCGTTACCGTGGGAAATGGGGAGAAAATAAAAATGCCGTTTGTGACCAGAGCTCCTGCTTCTCATTAAGAGATGGGGGAAGAAATGCAGAGGAGGTGGCCAGAGTTCCTCTGTGTCATCAGCAAGTGTCTGTTTAGACCTGAGGTGACACCTGATTGGACTGCTGCATACCGTCCTGTGACAGGAACAGGCCACATCCAATAGGCTATTGCCTGTCAGGTGGGGGGCGGCCAGCGGAAAGGCACTTGTCCATTGTAAATCAGGATTTATGCTCTAGACAGATGAAGCACGGCAAGGCCTTTGAGCAGTATCAGAGGAAGTCCTGCAGGAAGGTCAAATGGACCCCAGTCATGAAAAGTATGGGGGTGGGACAGTATATAACGATAAGTGCGATACTGTTTTTATTCTGTGAAGAGAAAAAGCGACAAATTAGACAATTCAACTTTGAAAGTGAGGTGGTATCCATGTAAAATCATATGATGTTTGTTTCAATCATTAGTCCCACCCGGAAGCTGCAGCACGGAACCTATAACGCAGGGGTGGGCAATCTTACCCGCAAAGGGCCGGTGTATATGCAGGTTTTCGCTGCAACTCCCTAATTAGGTCACTAATTGAAGGACTGATTGGCACCTCACACCTGGGTTTGAACAGCTGACCTAAAAGGTATCCCAAAAACCCGCACACACACCGGCCCTTTGTGGATATGATTGCCCACCCCTGCTATAATGAATACAAACTGCTGGGTGGGCTTCCTTATCTTAGGTAGATACTTACGACACGCAAGGATTTTTAAACCTGATATGCCGGCCATGGTGCACCTCTGCAGTGAGCTCCGCATACTAGCAAGGGAGAAGATGGGGAACAGCGGGGTAGGAGCACCTCAGCCAGACGAGGAGCCAGTGAAGTGTACGTCGCCCAGTGGGAGGTTCCGGCCGCCATGTCACGCTTGCGCATGCGCGCAGATTGTGCGCGCGCTCGGTCCGTCTCTTAGACAGATGGCCCACACGCGATGTTTAATTACTGCAGGAAACGGGTGCAAACGGCTGATTTGTAATCGGAGTTATTTCCCGTCTAATATCAGGCCGCACCTCCATCCTTTAGCTGTGAGCTCCCGTCTAAATACACGCGCGGTGGGGTACCGGCTTTGCGTGGGAATAGTTACCGTGGCTTAATTTGCATTTAGATTTGTTCCAGCTACGTGCGCTTGTGTTAGCACTCCCTGTGAGTACCAGCTTATAAAGAGACTGCTGAAAGAAGTTCTTATTTTATTGTAAATCTCATTCTTTTATGCAAACTAGCGAATTTACCAGGAGCTACTGAGGGCAAATATCGTACTCACCGGCACTACATCAGAAGCCCTCACGGGAGTTAAACTGACAAACACCGTGTTATATGTTCATGTCCTGACCACCATGCTCCCCGCTGCGCTACATGACGTGTTCCTGCGTCTGGACTCCAAGCCCCCTTCCTTTCCGCGGTGCTACTCCCGATCCGGCTGCAGGAACCGTCAGGATGCTCGATGAACTCTTTACGCTTCACTTAGCAGCCCGTCAGCAGACGTTAGCCGGGCTTTTCGTACTTAGCAATAAGTAAAAAGCCCGTTCCATGTGTAAATACCGTCTTCCCGGACGTGCTGCGCGGAGGGTCAGGCGCGGGAGCTGCCAGGGCCTGACGGGGGGGCGACTGGCTTCCACATTGATGTCAGATTGTTGAATGAGGATATAAACAGCCTGGGGGGCTGGCCCAGATGGCGCTGAAATCACAGATAATAAGTCCAGCACACCGCTCACATGACTTCACACACTGGTGTGCGCCGCACGCCCGCTGTCTCTGGGGGGAGGCTGTTGAGTGCCAGCTCCCCTCTAACCCCCCCCCCCCAAATAACTTATATTTTTCTCGTCTCCCTTACGTCGTTATTGCCACATCAAGCACGGCTTAAGAAATTCACGCTTACCGCAAACAAAGGCGGCGCGGTTTAACTTATAATTAACATTCTAAATTAAGTTAAATAAATAAATAAATAAATTTAACATATGAATTAATGTGGCGTGTCACTCACACCGATGCTGCGGTCCAGAAGCAGGATGCGTCGATCAGTAACGAGCATGCAATGTAAATGACGTGCAATGCGTGTATTTCATCTTAGTTTACTGCCTGTCAAAACTGTGACAAATTGCAGCATGCGGACCTGTTTTGATTAATATAAGGACGTGATTTCTAAACAGGGACCCAGATCATTTACTGTTGTAAAACCAAAAAAGAAGGAAACGACGAGCAGTAAAAACTGATAAGACTCCAGTGTGGCCTTCACACGCTCGGTTCCCCTTTGAGTTAAGACTTTATGCATAAAGTGGACAGAGGGATTCTATTCTCATGATGTTCTGTTTTGTATGGCAAACAATCCCGCATTCCCCATTTGTATAAAATATTAAAACTTATTAAATAAGTATTTCATGTTTTACATGGACAGCGCAAATGTAGTGTAAAATATACATTCTTTAAACATAATTCATAATAATACACACAACATGTAAAACCCCACCATAATGAGCATGTCTTACAAAGCTATACCGTTTATTCAGCACAGATCCCGTATATGATAATAATTTGCTTATCACTATCATGTGACAGCGCACTAATTGCGGGTGCGGGCTTTTCATTGGCTCCCCTCGTTGGATCTCTACTTCGGTAAGATAATTGCATCATTTGCCGTAGACTGCCGTTTGTGGACGTTGCCAAAATTTGTTACACTAGCTCACATTAACTGATTAACCGATTTTCCTCGGTAAAGATGCTAACAAGGAACCCAAATAAGTATGCAGAAATAGATTTGATAACGAACAGTGTGTGTGTGTGTGTCCAGCGATTATTGTATTGTTTTACTTCTCTTTTTTTAAATCTTAAATGATAACTGCAAGGTTTTTTCGTTATGCATTCCAAAAGGGGAATGGCAGAAAAAATGTCTATTGTTGCTAATCGACAGTAATAATATAATCTTGAAGTATATGTTGACAGAATGGCTGTTTGAATTGTTTTGTATAATGTCTTTATAAAGCATGAAATAACTGGAAGATGTTAGGCCACAGTTGGTATTATTTTAAAAATGGTATTAATTTGACTGATAAGTTAGGCTAAGTTGAATTCTAAAAATGAGACCTCAGGGAACATTGTTACAAGAATGAACCACTGAATCCCTAAATCAAGGGTGAACAATCTTACCCAGAAACAGCCATTGTGTATGCCGGTTTTCACTGCAACTCCCTAATTAGATTACTAATTAGAGGACTGATTGGCTGAGGAGTCCTCACACCTGGGTTTAAACAGCTGACCTAAAGGTTATCCAAAAAACCTGCATCCGCACCAGCCCTTCACCACCCCTGCCCTAAATCTTTGAGTCAAACTGCTTAAAATGTGGAGGCCATCGGTGTGAAATGCACTACTGGAGTTACGCTCTGCTCATACGTAACACACACATTGTGTAAATGAAGTTCAAGGCAGTCATTAACTAGCATATTTCTAATTTATAAGAGTTTAGGAGATATTGCCTTGGAACTTTTAAACAATTTATTAGAGTCCATTTTTGCATCACTCCCAAAAATAAAGAAAAGTTTTTTATTTTATTATTATTTCTTTTAAAAAAAGCAACCCGAGGACGGAAACCTCGACATCTCCTGATTTTCCACACTCTTCTCTGGAAAACCGTTTCTTTCCCAGATCTCGTGCCGATAGCAGCGGATGAAGCGTGGTGACACATTTCTTCTAATGAGGCATCTACGCTACGGTCTTGTGTGCAAAATGACAAGTAATTCAAACTGGAAAAGGGGGCTTTTTTTTGCAATGCTGGGGGGGGAGCTTCCATTTTGAGGAAAGGGAAAAACGACTCAAGCTATTTAGGGGTCACAAGGCTTAAACGTGTGAATGTGAATCACATGAGTGTTTCATTGCCGGTTTGTCAAACCAAAAAACCATATTCGGCTAAATTCTCTTACCAAAGCTAAACCAGCCATGATGTAGATGCCTGTATGACGCTCTTATCTAGCCAACAAACGAGTGTTTACTTCACACACTTTCTCTGCCCAAGGTGTTTTAATTTTTTATATGTAGTCATTTGCATGTGATCCTGGACCCTTTCGCATTTCTAAGCCCCTGACCTATAACTCGGTCCTCACCCTGCGATCCATCTACCCTTAAACACTGCTTACAGTAACTTGTCCTCATCACCATGGAGTTTGTGGGTTTAGCTCCAAATATGATCAGGGATGCCGATAAGGGATTCTTGGGCTTAGAAGGGACTGCATTTAGTTTCACACACTTCAGATCGAGTTGAACCGTAGCAGCCTTCAGCCAACATGGGGCCGAAGTGCTCAAACCAAAATACAGACCACGTCACTCAGAAGGAATATTTTTGCTTAACAACCAAGGATGTTTAAATAATAGACACGCTACCAGAAGTGACAGTTAGCA